TGCAAGGGACCAGTATGATGCAGCCTCTCAGGGCCTTCAACTTGTCAATATGCTCAATTTGATGGAAGTCATTCATTATCCACATTCTGCCTTTGAAAATTGTCCTGAGCCATTCATTGCCAGCCAATCACACCCATCTTGCCAGTCTGTGGTAGAGATGGGTATCCTCTACTTGACATGCCAGATCAAGGTGGCCTCTGTACATCTGAAGCAGACTTCTGATATTGCAGGATGGCCTGCACATTGGTTTGCAAACCTAGCAATGGACTTGGTAGGTTTTACATCAATTTTTCACAATGTGGGACTGATATATAATTCCTTCAGAATCAGCTTAATAGCTTGATTCTGGTGATGGTGTTGCATGCCAGTTATACTCCTCCCCTCCTAGCATGCTACCATGCATACCTCAGACACCAAGATGATGAGGTTAGCTTCCATGATCAAATGCAGCTAATTCCCCTTGGTGCATTTTGCATAATCAACAATATCAGCACCATTGTCCCACATTGGACCCCACATGCAGCTGAACCCAATTCTGGCTTTGCATTCCCTTGGTGGCTATATCATTCTGAGGAATATGCAGTGGATTCCCAAAGATTGCAAGGCAAGGGATTGTTTTCTGTGGCCTGAGATTTTTTTAAGGTATGCCACTTATTCTCATTGCTGCAAACAGTTGATGATGGCCCAGGGCTTATGGCCATTGCCTGAGGCGCCAATCACAGACCATCTTGATGGCCATATCAAGGAACAGGTAAACTACTGCATTCAAAATATTTGGAAATATGCTGATGTTATCAATGATTGGGGTCAACAAATTGACCATTTCTACACTAGGTGGTGGGCATTGTGTGGGTTGTTGGGCATGCCACTTCAATAGTTTACATGTTTTTGACTGTGGAGTTGGTTGTATATACATTGCTGTGAATGTCAATCATTTATGAGATACTGCCCATTCACATGATATCTGAACCCCTGCCCATCCATGCAATGTCTGACAATCTGCCCATCTGCATGATGGCCTGAGTAGGTTTTTTTTTTGCAGTTTATGATGCACACCCTTTAGCTCTGAGTACCTGCCCAATCTATGATGTCAAAGCACCTGCCCATTTGCAAAATCTTGGCAACACCACCCATCCAAAGTTCAAGAGCCAGCATATCCTAATAAAATACAAGATCCACATCGCCTACTAAATCTTACATTAAATTTTGCAGCTTCAAATCAACAGTTCTCCAGTTGCAACTGGTCTAGGTAGTAGGTTGTCCATCTGCAATGATTGACACAAGGGAATGTGCACTGACTGATGTACATTGGCATGCATGTAGTATGCCAGGCATGCTCTGTCACCATCTACAGCTCCCACCCCATGCTCCAATGCTGAACCTGAAAATGCAATGATTGTCCCTGGGTTGTAGCACAGCCACAGATTCAATGTTGGAATGACAAAGTCCAAGGACAGGTAGTTTCCCATGGTTACCAGCATGTCATACCATGGATCCCATCCATTGATATCCCTGTGGTAACAAGTTGCCTGATTCACCATCACAGACATGCTGCTATGTGTGGAGCTCCATATCAGCAGTATGGAGCTTATATCTGAATCTGCCTGCTGTTCTGCCTGTTTGCCAAGGAAGATCAATGCTTCCCTGCCATCTGCATACATTTGTGGATGGATGACATGCAGGATCACAGATAACAGGGCATTGGTGTCAGACATTTGGTCAACCCATTCCCTTGTAGAAGTGTTTTCCATCCTGGATTTGAGCAGCCATGAGGCTTCCAGGAAGCCATTTTGGGGCTTCAAGACAGATGAGCACTTTATTCACAAGGAAAGAAATGATCACCCACCCCATGACCCTGTTGAAACCATGTGGGTGACAGGTTGATGGCACCTTGCCACTCAGCATTATCATGGAAATATGACTTGTCTGTCTGCCATGCCTGTGGGGAAGCCTTTATGCTCTCCTGCAGTGGTTCCCTCAGAAGATGAAGGCAGTTCCATATGTCAGCCTGCCATTCCATTAAGTCAGTAGAATATGAGATTCTGCATTCTCTTACCCTTCTTTTTGGGCTGAGAGCATCTGGCAAATACCAAACATGGATGGTGTTTGAGTCAGTCACCAGAATGGATGGCTCAGTCACTTCTGCATATCTCTCAGCAGCTTCTGCATTGCAGGTTTTTCCACCCCAATTTTTCCTGACATTGACTGTGGAAAGATGAAAACTTCCATTGCACCATTATGATGGACTTCCTTGGGCAACAATAGGCCTGTGAGATTACTGACAATATGTGATCCACTTCACATAACACCAGAAATGGGATTGATATATCTGGAAGGGTGCAAGGTCCACTGAATACCTCCTCTTGAAATCTGGCTTTCATGTATGATGCAATGCAGTCTGTTAGTTCCATTTGCCATCTGTGGGGGGTTTTAGATGTGTCTTGCATAGTATTCATGCTTGGGGTGGATGAGGTCAGAGTTGTATAGTGGGCAAGCTGCTTGCAGCTTGTTGGCAAATTATGGCATGTTGGGACACTTGCCTCAATATTTTACTATGATCAAATCAATATGTTGTGATGCTATACATGCTATTGGTGTTGGACCTGTCTTATGTTGCGACAGGGGTGGATCTTACTAGATGGACCCACCCTTGCCTTATGGCAATATAAAAGATATCACTGAAGGGCCTGTCCATACATTATGACCATATAAATAATATTTCTGAAGGGTGCATCCTTATGTTGTGACTGCATAAATGATACTGCTGAAGGGCCCTTCCATATGTTGTGATGCTACAAATGATATTACTGATGGATCTTTATGTTGTGACAGGGGTGCATCTTACTAGACAGGCCCATCTATGTGTTGTGACACTGTAAATGATATTACTGATGGGCCCATCTTTATGTTGCAACAGGCATACATGTTGCTATTGATGGGCCTGTCCATGTGTTGTGACTGTGTAATTGATATTACTGACAGGCCTGTCTTATGTTGCAACAGGGGCATATCTTACTAGATGGGCCTGTCCATTTGTTGTGACAATGTAATTGATAATACTGACTGGCCCATCTTTATGTTGTGATGTGGGTGCATCTTACTAGATGGGCCCATCCATGTGTTGTGACCCTGTAAATGATATATATTGAAGGGCCTGTCTTTATGTTGTGACAGGTACATCTTACTATGGACAGGCCTGCCCATGTGTTGTGATGGTATAAATGGTATTATGGAAGTGCCCATCCATATGTTGTGATGCTATAAATGACATTACTGACAGGCCTGTCTTTATGTTGTGGCAGGGATGCATCTTACTAGATGGGCCTGTCTATGTGTTGTGATGCTGTCAATGATATTACTGACAGGCCCATCCTTATGTTGCAACAGGCATACATCTTGCTATGAACAGGCCCATCTATATGTTGTGACAGGGGTATATTATCCCAAAGATGGGCCCTTCCATATGCTGCCAACTCTGTAATCTATCATAGAGGGGGCCCTCTTTATGTTGTGATCCTATAAAGCATATGATGGGTGGGCCCATCCTGATATTGTGACTGGGGCACACCCTACCATGGACAGGCCCATCCATGTCTTACAGTAGCTCAGCATACTTACTTGGTCATGGGCCCATCTATATGTTGCAGCATCCTTACCCTCCACAGGCCCTCCCATATGTTGTGGAATTGCACTTACAGGCCTGTACATATATTGCTCTCACTATGGGCCCTCAGGCCTGTCCATGTGTCATGGCTAATCTATTTAGATGGGCCCATCGTGGGGTCTATATAAGTGTTGGCATTTTGGCATGCAGGCTACCTATATGTTGTGACTAAATGGACTATATGGGGTCAGAATGGTGTCCTTGGAAAGCCACTGTTGGGCAGGTACTGAAGATACCACATCCACCCAATACAGATGGGCAGAAGGCTGGAAATAGTCTGATTAATGCAAATACACCAATGGTGTAGCTTGTGAGGTCTGGGTCACTCAAATCAGCTCCAATTCATGCTGGAATGGTGTCCATGGCAAGCCACTGTTGAGGGGGTGCTGGGGATGCTGCATCCACTCAATCCAGATGGGCAGATGGCTGTCAATAGTCTGATTAATGCCAAATACATCCAGAGTGCAGCTTGTGAGATCTGGGTCACTCAAATCATCTCCAATTCATGCCAGCATGGTATCCATGGAAAGCCACTGTTCAGTGGGTGCTGGGGATACCACATCCATTAGTGACAGGCCTGTCTTTATGTTTCAACAGGGTACATCTTACTGGGGCTGGGCCCACCCATATGCTGTGACAATATAAATAATACTACTGAAGGGCCCATCCACATGTCATGATGCTATACACAAGATTACTGACAGGCCCATCTTTATGTTTCATCAGAGGTACATCGTACAGTGGACAGGCTTGTCCATATGTTGTGACAATATAAATAATATTACTGAAGGGCCCATCCATATGTTGTGACTCTATTCAATGATACTAGTGATGGGCCTGTCTTTATGTTTTGACAGGGTACATTGTGATGCTATACATGAGATTACTGACAAGCCCATCTTTATGTCTCATCAGAGGTACATCTTACTGTGGATGGGCCCATCCATATGTTGCAACAATATAAATAATACTACTGAAGGGCCCAACCTTATGTTGTGACTCTATTACATGATATTAGTGACAGACCCATCTTTATGTTTCAACAGCAGTACATCTTACTATTGACAGGCCCATCCATATGTTGTGACAGGGGTATGGCTTATTATGAACAGGCCCATTTATATGTTGTGACACCATAAATGATATTCCTCCTGGGCCCATCCTTATGTTGTGACCCTCTCCATGTTATGATAGGCAGGCCTGCCTTGATGTTGCAACAGGGGTGTAACCTACCAGGACAGGCCCATCTCAGGGTCTATATAAGTGTTGGTGTTTTGGCACACAGGCTGCCCATGTGTTGTGACTAAATGGACTACATGGGGTTGAAAAACAACAGTTTTTCCAGGTCTTCACCATGCTCAAGATGGCAGGTGCACCTCTTATCAATGAGATGCTGTATGAGGCTACACAGATGCAGATTCACTACCTGGAATCAACTTGGATTTCTAATGTATTGCCAAATGAACAGTACATGGGCTCTGTAGCACCCAGGAAGTCTATCTTTGACAGTGGCAAGTCTTGTATTTCTTCTGACCACTCCACTGCATTTCTCCTTACTGCCAAGCCCCACTTTCCTAGCATCCCTGTCGATGATGCAGCTCCCCTTTTGATACATGACCTGCAACCTGTGTTTGGAGACTTCTTTTTGGGCTGGTCATACACAAGCCACCATGGCTGCCATCTCTCTTCACCCAATTCTCCCCTCCCTTTCTCGCACTTTCATGCCTGGGACAAGTTTTGTATTCAGCAGCATTTGGCACAGGACCCCCTCTCCCTGTCACCACCTCAAACAACTCAGGCTTTCCCCCTGAGCACCAATATGCCATGGGGTCAGGCAAACACTATCCTGATATGCCACGAGAGTGGTGATGTTATTTCAGCCGGTCATGTGGATGAATGTATGCTCAAACTTAATGAGATTAGGCATGCATGAGTTACTTTTTCTTGGAAGCCTGCAAGCTTGATCTCCTTGTCATTGTTTCCTTGGTTTGCACCTTACTCTGATCCTTAGTCTTCTTGGAGCATCTGCCATGTCCCTCCTTTGTCATCTTAGAAGGCTTACTCACAGTGGCCTTCCTACCCAACCACAAATCACAGTCCATTAATGGACTACTCTGTTTGCCAGTGGAAAATGTCACACTGTGCTTGCATTTGAGTTGTGGCATCTGATCAGTGAGATTGTTCACCTGCTTCACAGGTGAAGGATCCAGATTTGCTCATAATTGCCTTCAGGCACAGCATTCTGGTTCTGAAGTAGAAGGCTGTGGTGAGGGCACTAGGGGACAGCCAACTAAATGATGAACCTGTATTTTTGGGAGACTGGACTGGAGATGGAGGACTTCCTGGCAATGCCCTGCAGCCATTTGTGTCATTTTCTGAAGCAGATTTTGGTGAGCGAAAGGAGGATAGCTGACTGAATGAAAAAGCTGTATTTTTGGGTGACTGGACAGGAGATGGGGGACCTCCTGGTGACAGCCTGTGGCCATTTGTGTGACATTCTGAAGCCAGGGGCTGTGGGGTATTTGGGAAGGACACCTGAGTAGGCAAATGATTTTCAGAAGGGCAAGTCCCAGAAGACAGGCCAGACAAACTGGCAAGATGTACAGCAATTTGTCACCTCATGATGGCAAGGTCATCATCATCATCATTGATATTGACATCATCACCTGTGGTGCCACAAACATTGTTAAACAATACTCTATACCTTCATGTCAGTATGCACTCCACAAGAGCCCCCCACACACCTGTTGTAATGAGAGAACAGCTCTTCAACCCAAGCCTTGTCTTCATTGTTGATGATAAAGTCAATAATTCAATAATACAACTTGGAAAAAGAGAATTGCCCATCAAATTCAACAAATTTGTCTTGCGAACAGATGCTGAAATGTGCCTGTGGAAGAGGGTAACACATATCATTCTAACACCATATCACTTACATGTACTGTGGCATATGTGATATGGTAAGCTTCTACATGGGTCATGTGGTGGATCTTCGCATTGCTGGCACATGTGTTGTGCACTTTGCTACCAGGCAAAGCAGAAGATGGCAAAGTGAAGATGTGTTTGAGGACCTGATTCTTAAATTAGTAGTTGATACACATGCAGTAGTATACACTTACTCGTTCAACAAAATATCCATGGAGGAATCCTTCATCACTCTTCTCAGGATTATAGTCCTTACTTGGGATGTCACCAGAGTAAAGAAATGCCAGCCACTTTTGGGTGGTAACAAGGATGCTACTGTTCTGAAGCTGCTTCCTCACTCTATGGAACAGTGAATCAGCTGATTGATAATGTCAAGTGGAATGGTACATACCCAGTTGCATCTGCTAGCAAAGCCTGCAGGCTCCTCACTGGACAGAGGAGCTGAGTGAGCTCTGCATGGTTGAACCCAAGCCTGTCTTTTGAACTCTTGGTGTTGACAGGTGGATCAATGAGTTTCTTGTCTGGATGGGGAGCTGCATAAGCTGAAATCATAGGCTTGAGATGACTGGCATCATCAGATCGCATCCAGCTGATCACTTGTTGCATCTGAAAGAAAGTCACTTGTTAGCCACATGATGCACTAGACTCGAGTCACCATTGACTTACCTCACACATGAGAAGCATGGTTTCACCACTCTTCTTCTTCTTAATGAGATCTATGAAGTACGGTGCCTGCTCCTTCAGGTAGTCATATATGTGCTTGTATCATTTGCTTTTCTCAGGGTTGCTGTGATCATAAGAACATCGCATATATGCTGTTAAATGTTGTACTTATGCTTTTCTAAGGATCTTATCATGGGCCTTTCTAGCACTTTCATCATTGGGTCATCAGTACTACTCACTGTATTGTCTGCTTCAAGGACACAGGAGACTGGAATGACTTCATTCAGGTTACAGTACATATCAAATGCACAGGGAATCCATCTTGCTGCATGGAGACACTGATCTCATGGGGTAGAAACAAGGCAATCCTGTGATTTCTTCAACTTTGACCTATCTGTAGTCACATCAGCTGGAGAGCACTGCATCAACAGGGTTGGAACTTACTTTGACTTATTAATCTTCCCATTATGGTGGTGTCTCGAGGATGTTTGAGCACTATCAGATTGATTGCTGTTAGATTCAGAACTATCAGAAGTAGGGTCAGGCTTGCACAGATGTCACATGGACATTGAGGTAGGACAGAAGGAGCAAGTCAGCAAATGCCAAACTCACTTGGCCCCCTTTGTACACTGATCTTCATGACTAATGTCACCATTAGCTCGTTCTTTTGAAGTTTCTGGGATGCATCATTGAATGCTCCTCAAGTAGTTCAAACTTGGTACATTTTTGTTCTTGTCACCCATCTAAGTTGACTGACAGCAGTTCACAGTAATTTGTACTGGAAATATAACTATTCACCAATGTCTCTGGCATTCATTTTAATCCATTCAAGTTGCCCGAAATCCCACTCCCTCCTTCTGAAAATTCTGATGTATAGCTGCTTTGGATGTGATGCTTTCTTCAAGACTCAGAAGCAGCTCTCAGCACACACACCCCAGTGTCCCAAGTTCCATGAGGTATTGCACCAAATATTCCATCTTGAATGCATGAGACATCTGAAAAGAACTTGTCAAGCTGATGCTGAACCCTGCTTACTGGCTCCCCCTGATGACATACCAGCAGGAGACTTGGATGACTATGTTGCATTAGCTACTAATATCAATGTAAGTTATTGTCCATATATCTGAATCTATGACAACTGTCATATGCACAGTTTATGATGGAGGTTGCCCCAGGGGTGGACCAACCAGAGCCAGTTCTGTCCCATTGGTCTGGTTGGCATATTTGCATGCCAGCTTGCTTCATTGACTTCCTTCCTGGATGTTCAACCCACCTTGCACACATGCCTCTCTCAGCCACTCAGCTACATTCTTTGAGACCTGACTCACCAGTTCTGTCTTTGCCCGAGTCCACCCAGTCCAATACACCTGCCACACTGCATCTCAAGCCATTCACAACTGACCCAGACACATTTGGACTATACTGTGTCTATGCCAACCAGCCAACTCATATACCTGATGAGTCACTTGGGAGTGTTTGCAATGCTCCAGGCCTGGATGGCTCATTTCCACCTACTTGCACCACTGACCCAGCATCTATGGGAGTTCCAGGTGTTGAAGGTGGCTGCAAACATGCAGCCACATTTGCTCCTTTCACCAACCTCACATGTGGTATTTTGATGGCTTGGCAGTATTGGGAACTAACCAGAAGTCCACTGCAGAACTCAACTGGTTGGCCCAGTTCCTGGCTCACCCCCTCTGCAATCCAAGGGAGCTCACTGGTTTCCACCACTTGCATGAGGCCAAACTACTTGACAAGCTCCTTGGCATGAACAACCCATTTAAGGAAGAATATGGATGGCATTGATCTGCTGTCATGGTTCACCTACCAGATGAAAAGTTGAAGTGGCCATCTGAGTCAGCTGCCCCCAAAATGATTATTGATGGAGTCTGGCATTTGGACCTCATTGACATCATCACAAGCACCTTTCCAAGCAAACAGTTCAAGACATTCCACACCATGCCATTCAGACAGTGCTGGCAGGTTAGTGATGATTGTGTAATTGACATACTTTCAGAAGCCTACTCCTCACTGGAAATGCTTCATGCACACAAAGACATCAATAAACTGCCTTGTGAACTGGATGGAGACCTAGAACATGTTGTCACATGCCTGATGCTTTAGTCAGACTCAACACACCTTACCAACTTCAGAGATGCATCAATGTGGCCATTTTATATGTATTTTGGGAACCAGTCAAAGTACCTAAGAGGGAAGCCAACAGCCATGGCATGTCACCATGTTGCTTTCATTCCAAAGGTATGGTAGCTCCTGTAGCTGGTACATCACATTTGTGCTTATCCCTCACAGCTTCTGGACAACTTTCAAGATATCTATAGGGGACATTATGGTCAAGCATCCTCCAGGGAGATTCTCACTCATTGCAAGCATGATTTATTCCATGCCATTTGGGACTTAATCCTCGACATATGGTTCATGGATGCTTACCAAAGTGGTATAGTCATATGGTGTGCTGATGGGATCACATGGCAGATATATCCCTGCTTTTTCTCCTATTCAGCTGATTACCCAGAAAATTCAGTTTCCTGTTGGTCACTGGGGTGCCATACTAATGCCATCCTAAGGGTCTTGGTAGCAGGAATCAAATTTCTCAGTAAATGTGCCTGTCCACAATGTCTTGTAGCAAAAAAGTCATTTTCAAAGATGGGCATGGCACATGATATGTGACACCATGTCAGGCATGTTCAGATGGACAGTATTAAATGGCAGGGGCACATCAGTCAGGCATGCAAGCTCATATTCCAGAAAGGTGCAGCTGTCAATGGAAAGCAAGTGGGATATCAACTGAATGAGCACTCCTATGTTCCAATGATGGTCAGTGTTCAGTGTAAACTACATATAGAAGACTGCTGAATGGAATCTATTTAAGAATGCATTCTCTGAATGCCTGCTACAATTCATGGTTAACTTTTTCCCCCTTCTGGTCATGGACCAGCTCCATGAATTCAAGCTTGGTGTACAGAAGGCGATTTTCACACACCTACTACATATTCTCTTTGTGGCAGGAGGTGATGGTATACAAGAACTCAATAAAAGGTAAGTACTTGTCTCATAATGATTTGACCAATCCCAATCTCCACTTGCATGTTCATTACTCAATACATTCACCAGATTTTGGAACATCCCTACTTTTGGTCATGGAATGATTCAGAAATTTGCCTGCAATGTGTCAGCCATGAAGAGACTCACAGCACAAGACTTTGAGGACATATTACAGGTTCATGCGAGCCAGAGACAAACATCATCTACCTATTTGACTTTGCCTGGATTAGTGTGCTATGCCTCCCTTCGAAAATTTGCTGCTGGAGCCTCACAACAGTCATGTACTCAACCTACTATTTGACCTTGCTACTTGGCATGCATATGCAAAACTTCAGCTCCATACATCTGACACACTAGACTTGTTTGACTCTGCAATGGTCTCTCTAGGTCAGATGGTCCATACTTTCATGAAGATGATGTGTGAGTACTACAACACACATGAACTACCACAAGAGACAGCTGTCCACAGCTGCCATACTGCAGCAATGGCAGTAAAGACCAATATATTGAGCTCAGCTGAATCATCTGGACCCAAACACAAATCCCTCAATCTGCAAACATACAAGTTCCACACCCTAGGTGACTATCCAAACACAATCCAACAACATGGTACAACAGATAATTTCACAATGCAACCAGTAGGATTGTTTTTGCACAATTGTAAAATACTTACAGATGAATTTCATAGGGAAAATTTGAACACAGGCAGTTGAAGTGGCAGTACCCACAAACTTCAAAGAACCATGCTACAACAATGGCATCCATGAGCAAACACAAGGCTCAAGAACAAGTTATTGACTGAATAGTCAAGTCTCTTGATAAATTGGCATGCGACAACACTGAAGGAAGTGAAAGCAGTGGTGAAAACCACCCAAGGCAGAAACATGAGGTCTTCACCTTCTCAACATTATCACATTGCAGCGTCATTGCAAATTCCTGTGGACATCCCTGGTTGGCTGAGTTCATTGGCAGGTGACAGAGCCACTGAGGTATGTCATCTGGTGTGCATGGCTGCATGTGACCAACTAACTCTTTGCAGGACTTTGTTGACCACCTCAAAGACCATCTCCTTGAATGCATTCTTGGAGTGGACTACACTGGTGACCCACCAAGCTTTTCCGATGCTGACTGCAACAATCTTATCATCTCACATAATATGATGTACAAGCATCAGACATTGCATGTCAACTATATGACCTATGACCTCTGCCAAGAACAAGACACCATTAATCCATGCACTCATGCTGATATCATGCTCTTGTCACATGAGACAGATGATTGTCATCACCCATATTGGTACACACATGTCATTAAAATTTTCCATGTCAATGTACAGTACTACTATGATAACAATGCCTCATCTGATGGGATAAAGCAGATGAACGTGCTCTTTGTGCAGTGGTTCAGCCATGATAACAGCAGACCAGGGGGATCAGGGTTTGCTGCATGCTGACTGTATTGGGTAGGATTCATTTCTGATGATGACCTGGATGTGTTTGGGTTTTTGGACCCAGATGTAGTCATTCATGGTGTCCATCTGATTCCAGCTTTCTCATTTGGACAAACATCTGAATATTTAGGGCCATCATTCATGCAGCCTGATGAGGACCTCCATGAGGACTGGCAATATTTTGATGTTAACATGTAAGTGAGGAAATAAATCAACATGGATGCATACTTAAAGCTCAGATAGGTTTGTTGATTGAGATATGTTCATGCAGTTTCAAGGTGGCAGCATTGGGCATAAGGTATCCAGGGAGTGGGATTCATTCTTACAATCAGACTGTCAAACTGCTGATGAGGAGGTCAGTGGCACATGCAAAGAAGCTGATACAGTACAAGGAGCCAAGGAGGACAACAAGATGAGTGGAGAAGAGGAAGATGATGATACAGACCTGGACAAGGATGAGGGAAGCTCCAGCAAGCCTGATGACAACAAATCAGATGATAATGACAGTGAAATGGTGGCAGGCCTCAATGATAATGAGAACTTGTATGCCCAGGAGGGATATGGGATGCTTTAGTTACTCATCATTTTCATTCAAAGTTGATGATTTTGTCTTCTTAGATGCCTCTCAGCTTGAATGTGTACACATATATTCACATTAAATCATCATATATTCAATGTCATTTCTCAACAGATGCAATTATAGTTACTTTGTAATTCGCATTACCAGAATTTGCCAATCTGCTTCCAAGTGGCAGTGGCCATTTTGCTTCTGACATGGGGCCTTACTACAACAGGGTAATAATGGCAGGCGAAATCAGGGCAACAACCATCAACATGCTTCAAGATGTCATCTACCTTGAAATCAATGGCACCCTTTCATCCTGGAACATGCATTACTTCAATGTCAACCTCACCACCCCTGGCAGGAAATGAGTCATGTTTCATCTGAAAGATGTCTGCAGTAGGTAACACAAGCTATCCTTTTACATTTAAATGTGTATTCTAATTGTTCCCCTATCCCAGGAAGCCTTGTCATGATGTTGCTATACAAACAGACAGCAAGGAGACAAAGGAGCAGGCCACACAAGCCAGTGACCCCTCCCTCACCCAAGCTGATGATACTACACTCACAGTAAAGTGTGAGCCTACATTGCAAGACATGGAGAATGTAAAGTTTAGGTGCACTGTAGGGTATTCTTTGTGGTTTCTCTACTGATGTCTGCTCACAGCCCATGCCCTGCAACTCCCTGCCAGGTATTCAAGCAGCACTCACCCTCTGAATATTTTGTCACTCCCCTTGTTCCTCCAGTCATTGTCAACAAGCTTGCTATGGCATGCAAGAAGCTTAAATGTTGCCAGAGCTCCTCTTAGGCTTTCAATTTCCCTCTCAGTACAGATTACTGTAAAGTGTAACTATGTTTTACTACCGAGCATGTCATAGGAGTGCATTCTAATGAAGTGATTGGCAAGGCCCGGAACAATGCACTTGTGGTGATATATATATTCGTTGATATGTACAGGCATGTGTGGTAGACGCAAAATACAGTAACCAGCGCACGCTGGATGTTGATGTAGATCGATAAATGCTATGTCGTTGCCTCAGCAATCGACAGGACATGCAGGGGTGCACAGTATCACGAGACCGACTCGCAGCGCGTCAGCGGCACAGCCATTCGAAAATATATTCCTTATCAGGCAATAGTGGAGTTTGACAATTTTGGTGATGGATAAAGAGGTTTTCCATGCCATTCTTAGTTACCAGTAGTTGCTGCACATGATTACCAATGGCATTCTGTTTAATCTTACAATGCACTTGAGTCATATCCTTGCGAACAGCTAATCAGGACTTGATCATCATGATTGCCACCACTTCCTGGTCAGATAACTGATAGTCCATGTACGTGATTACACCCGCATCTTTAGAATGGTAATTTGCTACCACGTGCTACAAGCTACTACAACTCGCTACAAACTGCTAGTTCGGCAGTGAGTTGCTACGAGCGGTTACCTCGGCTGACCGTTTCACTGATGATCTTCAACTTCAGTGTCTGAATCCTTCGGACCATCCTCTTCACCCCACCGCCCTGGGCACGGGAATTTAGAGGACAAACTGGCAATAATGAAGTCTTTCATTCCTATTTCTTGTCTTTGAGCAACAGATGCCCGCCAGTCTCCAAACATGTCTTTGTCCGCCCTCGTTCTACCGTTACCCGTACTTCTCCCTCAATAGCTTCATCGCCGTACGTACAGGCGGCCCGCGCAGCGGCGAATGTTAAATAGATGCCAAGAAGCGGTGACAAGTACGCATGCTACGATCAATCATAATAGAACCGTACACAATCTTATCCTGAGATATCTCTGGGGTGGGTAGTATTCTGCGTGAACTTTGACCATGGATCACCGATCCCTCCATCCCTCCTTTCTTCACGAGCCCCGTGGTACAGTTCATACATCGATACCCCTTCCCTCGCATTCGCCATGAGCCTGATTAGCAAACGTAAAAGGGCTGAGCTTTAGTGTGATGACGTGGACTAAATCATACCAGCACGCACCGTCGCAAATGAGCCACGTTATCATGCGGTACCTCAGAGCATGCAGCCCGGAAAAATTCACCAGCGATTGTCAAGCACTGAAAGGGAAATCGTAACTGTTAGCCGAATGTAGTGTACTACACGAGGAATGCACCTACTTCAAACCTGACTTTTTTTTCTGGTAGATCCATGGATCCATCTGTCGTCTTGTAGTGCAGTATTTCATGTACAACCTACTTCGTGTTAGAACATAGTAAAGAGGAGAAATACCCAACTTTCCTTCACTAGTACGTGCTGGATTTCCAAAGAGATTCCACAACGAAATGTCTCTAAGATCTGTGAGAAAATTGTCAATCAAGTAATCAATATGATCTATGTCACTGTACCTTGCCAACAATATCTTCCTCCACTGCTAGCTGCTCTGAAGAATCCTTGATTCTGTAGTACTTGTCATGCAGATCCTCCACCTGTTTCACCAGTGGTCGAATACTGTACATATACAATAGCATTTTGCACGGCAAACATGCTGCGGTACACACCCACTCACCTGTCAGCAACGTTGTAGTTACTCTTTCTCTCCTTGATACTGAGGTACCGTCAACCGTGCACACCACGTGCAAAATTCTACTTACTCACAAACTGTCAAGTGATTGCCCTTTTTCGGGGAAAGTGTTACAAATATCCTCAAGGAACTATTGCCAGGATGAGTAAACAATGGTTCTTACAGACGATACCTGAGCCACTTACCTCGAGGGCAAGGGTGTTAGTGAGCTTCTTCATCGTGCTCACTAACTTCGTTACTACTGAGAGCCACGTGTCTCCTCGACAGTGTGTGACCCCTCTCATCGCTCCAACCAACTCCACCACTAGTTCCTTACCACGGGATTCTTGTAGGGTTTTCGGCAGGTCGCTTGGTGAACCTGACATGTTTTTCATAGTTATATATCGAGAAAATAGATGACCTTGCAAATCGTTCTCACTATCCAAGAACGTCGTATTTGGCCCTTGAATGTGCTTGCCTGAAATCGAGGCCAGGTGTTCAAAGAAAGTTATGTTGCCTACCTACTGGAATCCTCAGCCTTGCACGGACTAGTAATGGACGGACACAAAAATACGTACAAGATCTTCGAGGTGCACGACACCAAATTTAGCCTTGAAGAACTCCATTGCTTCATGTCTGAATTCGCTGCGGTGTGCTGGTGGGTAGTTCTTTATGACGTTAAAGCGTTTCCTACATGCAGAAGGACGGTGTCATCTATGGCATAGCTGTACAACTTAAGTAGATTTACCTGATCTCATGGTATTCACTTGCCACATCTCTGTTTAGCTCACCCTGATACCAAACCCACGGAGTCGCAATAGTATACAATGGAGTGACCGTTTGTGGGTTAGTCGTGACATTACGAGCGTCTGCCACAATGTGGTACTCGAGGTAAGAAACGACGGTTAATGGTGGCACCGGCAGCGAACTCACAACCCTGCCAGCTTTCGGGGTATCGCCGCATTTGGGTCTTAATCCGTCCTCTGAAGTCATCGGTGAGGGCGCATGCTGAACATTGCACTACCGATGTCACCAATGAGTAGTCTCTCATCCGAGTAGACAACTGTTTCAGCAGATCAAGAACACGTGGAGTGTTTAGGAATGAGATAATTTTTGGTTCATTTAGAATTAGCCCCGCGTTTTCCGAGGGACGCGGGAGAGAAGTACCATAGGCTACAAGCCTGCTCGTGACCACGGGCTTGAGAGGTAAATCATTAGTATACAACCTAAGCTTCAAGTTGGATGCCTCCTGTTCTTCAAAGATGTTGCCTAGACGTTTAAAATTCCCAGTGTTGTTGCTGACGATGACACCATAGTCACCCACCTAATATATCCTTAGGCTTCGCAAACCAGAGTATACGCATTGGACTTACTTTGATCGATTGTTGTATGGGAGCAAGGGAAAATACCTCATGAGTGCCCTCTACCCGGTGATCGTCAAGGCGGCCACCGAACCATAAAGTTTCTCTCATGAGACAAGGGATTTCAGCCTTTATAAGACCTTTGGTGCCCTAGAAAGAATAAGATTTTGACGCCGCACTCACAATAGGAAGTGAAGTGTACTGACATACATGGGCTCCCATGTGAGTGTCTTGCAACGACCGCCCGGGAATTCGACGACATCAACTGCAACAATGCGATCGTTTGATTTCTCCCATCCTCCGCAAGCAATTCTGATAGCCCAAATGGTGCCGAGGAGGTACCCATGTTTGACGTGGTAAGGCTGAACTACTTTACCAGAGCACGCCTCAGTCATAAGGCGGGCATATTCCGCACCTCTGTTCCAAATCCGTTTGTAAATCTCCTCGGGATTGGCAGGAAGTTTGTTCCTTGGTTCATCGCAAATAACGTGCACCCAGTCCTGGCCAAAGCAGTAGCCGCATGCGACGGCGAAGAAAGTGTTCGAATCATTAGCGTAGACCACTATTGCAAGGGGATTGGTGCTTGACAATTTGAGCGAACCATTTCCGCATGTCGTGTTCGGGGGGAAGATGAGACGGCGGCGGAAACCATGAAGGGCTGTTGTTTCAACGAGCTTAAATGTGATACCACGAGGAGTCCCGTCTTGGTATGCAAGGTCCAGTTTCTGGCTCCGTGGAAATGGCTGTATGGGTCCGTCTGCACCGGAGTACCTGTAATAGACATGTCCAAAGGCTGCCAAATCAATCGTCAGCGGCATCAAGTTGTTCTTCCTGCGGCACGTCAATGCCACCTGGAAGATCGATGGACAGCCATAATAATCCGTAAGAGGAAGACGTATCCGTATTCCAAGATTGGTAACAGTGAATGCAGGCAGTTTGCACTCTTCGTCGGCACCGACTCCAGCGAGTACTTTTGCGCCTGACTCCCACTTTTTTGAAAGCAGTCGGTAGAATTCCTTCGGCTCCATTTGAATAATGTCGTGGCATCCTCTGAAGGCGATGGGACCGTCAGCTAAGACGCTACTGGTCCAACCCATCTCTTCTTTGGTGCTCCCACCGTCAGAACTCTCCTCTGCCCCGGTACCCCCAGCCTTATTGGCCCTCCAGGCAAAGACGCTCTGGTCATTCGACATCCGCATGAACTCGAGTTGCAGACGTTGAAACGCCTTCTTCCCCTCTCCATATAACATTGGCATGTGGACACCCAACAAACCTATTAGCGAGTATGCTTCGTCTTCGGCGAGCGTTGTCCTCCTCTCAGCAGCCCAGGACATGACCTCGGCAAAGCTGGGACTGTAGGAAGATAATCCATCCATCAAGACACGTGCCGGAACTCCTGTGATCTTCTCCAACTCGGTGGCCCTGTTTCGTTTATCACCGATTTCTTTCCAGTCCCTGTTAAAGAAGTGGAGTTCGGCTGGAGCTATCAACTCCTGCAGTGTCCATCCCCGTGAGAACCACTCTGGCCAGCCATTAGAATTGGTAAAAGTCGCAGAGTCAGCTTGGGTGGGAAAGTCAGAAGTATCGTGAAGGTAAGTGTAGCATTGCGTTGAGTTCTTGTACCAACGAAACATGGAATTGATCGCTTCAGACAGTTCCGAGCTGTTCCGCTTATCAATGCAGCACGTATCAGCCCATAGATATTCGAAGTGACCGTCTGCCACATCGCAAGCCTTGAGGATCTTTTGGTAACCATGCAGGTTCAGTATTTCGAACGCGTCATCCAATTTGGCGAGGTTCATCATCTGCACATAGTCGACTTCGTGCCCAGCAATCCACCGATGTGATAATATGCAATACTTTGTTGTGGTATCATCACAATTCGTGAAAATCTGGGTTTGAGTATCGACATCGGCTTGTTGTAGAACTTGCCTATGCCTGGCCAGGAATTCCTTTATTTTGATCAATCGCATCGCTTGCTGGCTAGCGAAGGTGCATCTCAACACAAGGTCAACGATTCAACCGCTGGTACGTACCGCAGGTCTACAGCAATGAGTTAGTGATTGGGAAGGAAAGCACAGATGAGGGGGGAAGTAGAGACCCAAGCAGTGAAAGAGATACAACTCAGAGAAGAAGTACGGCAACCACCATAGCTCAGTGCCAAGGGCCCTGAATAAAAGGGAAGTCTGAGCGCTCGTAATGCTGTAGATTAAGGTTTGGAGACCTGGTTGGCGACTTGATCATATCAGATAATGTTACCACCTACGTGAGGACAATAATCCAAGAAAGGGCACAATTACGTCCATACAACGGCCGCCGAATGCTGAGAATTTACTGATGGCAGCCACTTATTGGCATTGCCACACGATGTTACAGCTTGTTTCAGAACACTAAATCCAGTTACGACTACATACAAGTATCAGCTCTCAGCGCTGACATTTCGCTGATGGGTCGCGGGCACTCACCTAGAACCTCTTACTCCGCAGTGTCCGCCATGTCCAAACATGGCTTACATGTCATATGCATATGATAGGTGCATTTAAAGATTCCCCTGAGCCGCAATGACACCTACATCATCTTCCTCCAGAACCTCCAAGGAGGACGTTACTACGGAGGACCAAAAACAAAGATGTTCGGCTGCCAGGACATCAGGAGTACAGCATGAGTACCTAGCCTGCCATGCCAGTTGCTTACCTGGGATGAAGAGAGCCATCAACGTGGCTCCTATTGCAGGCGACTTCATGTAAACACCCTCAAACTTATTTCTATAAAGTGCAACCTTACTTCAAAAGTATGACATGAGTTACGGCCTGTTGTGCCGGTTACATACCTGGAATAAGAAAGTCACCAGCATGCTGGTTCTTGTTGCAAACGACTTCCTGTGGACACCCTCAATCACATACCTATAAACGACAAGCTTGCTTCAAAAGCATGACATGAGTCACGTGGTTATTACAAGCCACCTCCTGTAAACACCATCAACGATCAATCATAGTTACTCAGTTTGTTTCAGAAGTACAACATGAGTACGTAGCCTATTGTGCCAGCTGCTTACCTGGGGTGAAGAGACGTGGGTACAGCTCGTGTGGTGATGACTTCCTGTAGGCACCCTCGATCAAGTCGCTATAAACACCAAGCTTCTTTCCACCAAGTTCGGCGACGAATCACATACCCGCCTACGAAACGTCAACCACTCCCTCACTATATGTACCTCCTGAACATTAACACGCAGCAGTTAGAAGACATCCAAGAACGACGTCCTTATGCCATCCTATCGCACGCGTGGCGAGTAGGGGAGACACACTATTTTGAAGAAATTGGGACTGAGAGGGTGCGCACCCAACCCGGTTACGAGAAGGTTGAAATGTGCTGTGAGCTTGCACGGCAGGATGGTTTGGACTATGTCTGGATCGATATCTGCTGTGCAAATGCCAACACCAGTGCCGGCCAAACTGAGACGACGACATCAGCGTACACTTGGTTTCAACAAGCACAAGTATGTTACACATACCTGGATGACGTTGACAGCAGCGAGGACCCAAGGGAGGGGCACAGTACATTCAGGCGCTCCCGGTGGTTCAAACGCACATGGACCATTCAGGAGCTTTTGGCCCCAAAGCATGTGTTCTTTTTCGCTAAAGATTGGACAATGATCGGAACAAAGGCTGGCCTTTCGAGCATAATATCTGGGATAACAGGCATCCACGAGGATGCTCTCAAGTACCCGGAGCGCATCCCCTGTTTTAGCATTGCGACTCGGATGTCCTGGGCCAAGGGACGGACGTCGACCAGGGAGGAAGACAAAGTGTATGCGTTGATGGGACTTTTCGGTGTTAACTTGCCGATCTTGTATGGAGAGGGCGAGACGAGGACATTTCTGAAGCTTCAAAACAAAATCATGAAGACAACGGATGATCAATCTATTTTTGCGTGGCGCTCCGCCTCAGCTTCAGCTTCATCCGAGTCCCATGCCTCCGACTCAAGTCTCTTCGCCGACACTTCCAAATGCTTCGCCGACTGTGGTGATGTCCAACAAATTCCTTATGACCTGTGGTCAGAGTACTGCGCCAAACATTTCCGTTCGGAAAATGTAGCATATCCTCTGCTGGACAAAGTTCCTTCTTGTAGGGGCCTCCGCGCTATCCTGCCTGTGCGACAACGAGGAGATGGACTCGATGCACTTCTAGCCTGTGCACGAAGTCCTGCTGTCTGGAATGGCTCCGAATACATGGCGAACGTGGACAAAACAGATGCAAACAAGGCAGATCTAATTCAATGTATCCACCTCCGGCAATCCTATCATGGTTATGAACGGGTAGACAAAAACCATCTGGAAAGCGTCGGCGTCGACAATTTCCGGAAATTCAGCCTTCAGGACATCCATATTTGTGCCTCTCGATCGTTCCTGGGTGCTCCATCTCATCGGAAATGGCTCGTAAATAGTCTTCTGTGAGAATTTGCTTTTCTCAGCTGTTTCGTTTGTCTTGCTAACTTTCCTTCCGCTCAGCTATATCATTTCACCTTCGATTTTGTTCCTTCTGTACCAATCGCGTAAGGCTTCCCTATGATCTCTTCTTCCTTCACCAGGTAGGCGCTTTGTCTTTGCCGACGTTGACTGTTCCTGATTTTCCACCCGCTCCAGTGTTATGTCGTTGCGGACTTGTTTGTTTTTCGATGTGGATGTAACATCAGGCATGGGATAGTGTAGAGTGCAGAGCGATCTGCTTCGTTTCTTTCTAGACTGGCGCCGTGTCTAGGTGCTTTCTGTTTCTGAACTTACATCCCCAATGCGATGGCCTACTCATGTCTCCAAGACACCCATGATCATACGAGTCGAGATTATCGAGGCTGAGCTGGTCCAGGATTTCGCCTCAGCCAATTCTTCGTTTATGCGTGAGCTGGCGTTTATGAATACTCCAATGAGTGAATCTTCTGTTTGACTGTCATCAAACGCCGAAAATCGGTACCGTGGCCTACTTCCAATATACGGCAACAACCCTACGAAGATCTGCCGTGGTGTCCACGAGCAAGGGGGCGCAAGAACGCATATGAAAGACACTCAAAGGCGCACGCGGACATCGGAGGGCCGATGCAATTAGTGTGGCCCATCAGCAAAGCCGCCGCTTCCTCCGAAGCAGCGTGAGGGGAATTTAGTCCGGAGTATCCATTAGTCCGTGTTCCACTCTACATAATGTAATTTGTTTCCTTGTATAGTCACAGGTCATTCAGAACTACATGCCACGTACCACAGATGGAAGTCAAATGCTCTACAATTGGCTTCGGTTCACTACCTGTGTGTGCACTGCTAAATATTAGTCTATACACTTCACACTCGAATTCGAACCTGCGAATCAGCCCGTTCCCAAGACAAAGAAAAAAAAGAACTAACAGCCCAACCTACACACGATTTTACGCCCTTGTTAGCATGCAGGGGGCGACAAATTCACACAAAAGCGCCACGCGAAACCTTGACCAATTTCATCGCGTCCGCCGTCTCCCCCGCCCCCAACCGCAACATCTCCCAGTCTACCGGGTCGCTAATCTTCCTCGACCGTCCGAAATCGATCAACCTAAAACTATTCTGCGGCTCCATTTCGCCGATAGAGTTGTCACGCTGGATAGGCCACTGTGTAGGTAAGCCTCGCTGGACGAGGACGTTCCGCTCAAAGATCGACTCGTGTAGCCATCCAGCATCATTGAATCGGAGGAAGAGTGAGGCACATTCTTCGCGGTCGTCTTCTGAGAGGGTGGAGGGGTTGATGGGCTGGCCGCAGTGTTCCAAGAGGAGGATAGGGCTTAAGTAGGGTTTTCTAGTGGTAGCCTTTTCCTTGTCTACGTTCATGGTATTTTTGTCCGACAAAGCCACCTCTTCGACAGGTACATAATAGCCGTAAAACTGTGGCACCAGTGCATGCAGGGGAACCGGACTACAGATCGGTTTGATCAGATTATATCCGTTCCAATGTTGAAAGAAGTGATCGGGAAACTCCTGATAGTTCGCCGCTTCGCACGTAAGGTGAGGGTCATATGGAATCGAGAGTTTAGCTGCAACTTGGAAAACAGATGTACGCGGAACGGGGCTTTCACGGAACACGAAATGTGAACATTTTGTGGATGGATCTGACGGGGACTGCCAGCGTAGGTTGGGGCAATAAACCCGGAGAACGGGTATTTGGTCACTGGAGGTGGACGAACTTGGGGTCGTCTGCTTTTGTCCAGATTTGGATTGCGGTCCGAGTACCGTGATACGTTCTGAGTCGAACTCCTCATTGGGATCTGGTGAAACAAACATATCATCCTCCGGTTCTTCAGGCCCACCTTCTTCCTCCTCTTCCGCTGTCGGAGGTACCTCGCGCCCCGCCTGACGCATCATCTCGCGCCACCGTCCGGACCGCTTCAACTTGCGCACTTCCTTTTGGAGTTCCTCAGAGACGCAACTTTGGCATAGCTTGGGCTCCGTGAACAAGTCCCGAGGCAACTTCCACTCGGCTTTGTACACGATGGAATGATGACCCTTGCCAAGTTTCTCCACTGGTGAGAGGTACAGATGCGCCTCTTCAACACGGGTTGGTGCAGATGGTTTCGTTGGTAATGCCACTTCGTATGCAGGTTCGCCCCGGGCACACCCATCTTCCGTTGGCATGAACCTAAACACATCCAGTACCCTCTTATTCTTCCTCACACTTTCTTCCGCTGTCTTTTTGGATTCTTCGACGGCTTTGAGCATTGATGACCCAAAGCTGAGTTTATAGAGATAGACCCTAGGGCGCATATTGATCCATGATGTTTTGTCATCGCTTCTATCTCGGCATTGGTCAGTGTTGAGAAGAGAATACGGGTCGTGGACGTAGAGTGTTTCGGGTAAGAGGTGCATCGGGATGCGTTCTTGGAGTAGGACGGGTGGATAGGGGTTAGCAAAAGGGATGAATGGCCATGGGGGAGGATAGTGTGAAGGATGGAATGGCGACGAGAGAGGTCGGTCAGGCATGAGGACAGAGGATATACCATAATCCGGTTTTTCTGCTTTGTCGGTTCCCGTCTTTCCATCCTCTTCATCCTCTTCATCGTTGTCTGCGTCTTCCTCATCTTCATTGTTGTCTTCATCCTCTTTGTTGTTGTCTGCGTGTTCCTCATCTTCTTCATCGTTGTCTTCATCTTTCTTGGCAGCAGCAGCTATGGCAGCGACCCTTACCTCCTCCACTGCCGAATACACCCCAAACAATGGTGTGCGCGCCTCATAGCACTCAATCAGTTCTCCCGTGCCAGCAACAGGGATCTCACACGGGCCCTCCTCATTATCCGCCCATTCCAACTCATCTTTGCAATGTTCGACCTCGCCGTTCTCGCGCATCGCAGCGGCGATCCTACTCCCGCTGAGATAGGTGATAATACCGGGTTCACTGGGAATTGGTTTGATGGAATAAAAGTCGTACAGAGTGGCTCCCCATGAGCGGATACCGTTGGGAGCTACTTTGCCCCCTGGCATAAAATTCGCCTCGTACCAAAAGAACACCTTGCCTTTTGGGTCACGTGGCCAGACGCGGAATACGGCACGTCTTTTTTTGGAGTGGACGATTGAAGACGGACGTGTGGCGGCGGCGGGGACGGTGTGAAGGTTGGTGTTAGAATTGACGTAGTGCACGCCATTGATGTGGACGGGACCATCATCGTTCTTGTCGCCGTTCACTGTGGCAGCCGGCTTGCTAGCATCTTTGTTGTTGCTGGCTTGCTCAGTTTTGGTGTTGGCGGTGGGCTGATCATCATTCTTTTCATCGGCTTTTTTATTTTCCGTGACAGCTACTACCATATCGCGATCACCTGTGACAAGTTCATTGTCGACATCACCGATCAGGAACATTTTACTCACCGTCGGTGTCAGGGGCTTTCTCGGTCCCCGCCACAGTAACATGTGTGGCGTTGCGAGTGGCGCCGTCATCGTCGATACCAATGGATCTGCATCTGTTCGAGCGCGTCAAACAACGAATAGAATGGCACACTCGAAAGCGTACCCTTTGTTGGTATCAGCATCAGATGCGTGTGTACCAGTCAACACAGCCTTAGGCTCGGACGACGCGCCCACATCTCTACCAGATTCTTCAGGGACCCCTACCGCGGGTGGAACGGTGGGCGAAGCGCCGTCGTCGGTAGGGGTATTGGCATGGACACCAGTGGTAGCAGTGGTACTAGGGGTTGCGCTGCTAAGTGGCGCAGCCAGTACTCGTCGTTTTGCAGGGTATTCCTTCTCCAAAGCACGCTTGGCTCTATCGGTAGTAAGAAATCCGCGTTTCATGGCGTATTCGAATGTGGTTTGTACTATTGTCAACAAGTCGAAGGAAACGAAACGAATGTAGAGGGGGTTAGTTGGAATAGGAGTGGCGGCTTATGTCAGTACAGGGGGTACACCATATTAGTGTTGGTATATCGAGACCTGGTCAAAGCACTACGACGACGAAGACGATGATCGAACACCTTTCCACCATTTGCCCACCTTGGCAGCGGCGTATCGTGTACTCTTGGATACACCTGCACTCACGACCCCTTTCAGGGTCTGCACCGTCGCAGGGTACCGCACGATCTTGCACATCTCTGTACATGCGTTCATTAGCCACGCAAGAGAAACAAGAAAAGAACACACACCCTGTTGCAAAATCACTGGCATAGACTCATCGCCTGCTACACGTATCCAATACGCAAGCTCATCCGCCTCTCTCGAGACACCACTTCTCTCCTTCATACGCGCATGCACGCGATCCAACAGTCCCTGGGGTAACTTCTTCATGTGTGCTACCCTCGCTTGTGGACTGACATCCTGCTCGACGACATCCGACCCTGCTGACCACCTCACCCCCGGTAGTCCCTGTGCCAACCTCCAATACAGCTCTCTGAACTGTCCCTCCTGTCTGTCCACCACGTTCTTCACCTTGTTCCTATTCTCGGCGGGTAAGACCATCCGTGGATCGCCCATATAACTAATGGACGCGATGCTCATGAACAAATCGCGAGATGCAAATTGCGATGGGAGCATTAGCAGAGCGGTGCGTAGTGCTGAGGTGAGGTTGACTTGTTGCGTGAGACGTACGCGGGCGTCATCTTTGATTATTCGGAGAGGTTTGTGCATCCGACCAGCAAGATAGAGCGTTCTCCAATTGAGGAGATCGGCACAGAGTGTGTCGACAGATGTGACGCCGTACTTGATCGTCTGTGCATTCGGAATGACACATACACCGTCGTCGCATGTTACATATTCAGATATGCGGAGGGACTCACCACATCGTGCATTGGCACGTAAGTATTAAACCATACTCCTGGTCCCATCTCCTGGACCTTGGTAACGAAAGACGACCCCAACATCCGCGCATGGAGAGGGTAGTGACCAGGGTACTGATGCATATTGATAGAATGCCAATGGTCTGGATGGTTCACCGCAAAGATGAAATCGAGCATCGGTTTGTCCGCTCTGCTCTGCTTGCGTTTGTCCTCGTCGAGGTGGTCATATCCAACCTGTCCAAATACGCCTGAGCCATATGCAAATGCATACCGCACGGGCGCATCGAACGAGCGTACTATCTGCTCGAGAAGCGCCCGTGTTGAGTCTGAAACGGGGAGAAGCTGGTTCCGGCCAAATGTAGCTGGGAGGCCGAGACCCCGGCCACTGAGGTGGGGATGTGTGGGGTGCCGGGGGTGATTTGGGTCCGTGCGTGCGTAGTCATTCGACGAGTGGGTTGGGGTGCGACGTGGAATAGGGTATGACAAACGTGATGGGCGGGCTTTGGTGTCTTGTGAGGCAGGCGGAGGTGGTGGACTCGGCTGGGATGACGACGCCGGTGGGATTGGTGGACCCACTGCAGACTCTGACGTCGTCGTCAGTGTTCGCCTAATGTAATAACTACGGGCCACTGCCGTCAACGACGACGCTCCCAGTCTGGTCATTCCTTGTTGTTTCCCCTGCTTAGATTCCTTTGGTTGTCTCGGAGTGAAAATGAAGGAGGTACTGGCACGTGATCTTGGACAATGAGTGATATACAGGCTTTCAGCATACAAAATATGTAACTCGGTATATAAAAGATTTCAACATGTAGAAACCCTGTCCTGCAGAGAAAAGAGAAAGAATACAAGAAAGAAATACATGGTAACACATATATGACCACATAAACACAACAAGAGTTCACCACGAGAAGAAAAAAAAAATCATACCCCAACCCTCCCACTCCACAAAACCCAGAATGGATTACAACACAGGGGGAACCATCCTACCGCTTTGATGCATTCGCATACGGACTCTTCGGTTTCGCAGCATCAGCAGCAGCTTTCTGAGCGCGTAGAGCAGCGCTTTTATTGACGCGAGGGGCAATCGTCGGCGCTTGAAGACTGCTTGGACGACGCGAGCGAGATGTAGGCGTAGGCGCAGTGGGGCTAGCCGCGTGCGGATCGTCAACGTCTACAAAATACGCATCGGGATCGCTGAGGTAAGCATGGCTGTTAGAGGGAGAGGACGTCGTGTTCGAGGTGCTCTGAAGACCGTTCGTGCCAATCTCAGAGCCAACCCCGACTCCGGGAACACGAGACGCAAAACCCGCTTTTGTTATCGCGTACCCCCCGACTTGAGAAACCCTGGAGGACGCCCGAGAAGGTGGAACCGTCGATTGAGATCGAGCTGAACCGATATTGGTGCGGGAATCCCTATAAGCACTCATCACAGACGAACTGCGTGAATATGCCGACCCCGATCCGGGGGTTTTGGGTGCCGTAGGTGTCCGGACTTCATACCAGGCATGATCCATCAGAATAAAGCAACCAGTGAAGAAATCTTAACGACAACCACTCACACATGAAACTACTTGGCGGAGGCGCACCCTCTTTCCTGAGCGCTGCACTCCTATTCGTGCGCGGTAAAATGGAAGGCGGTTGGGAGACGCTACAGACCGAAATCGTTTCACTACGTTTATGACCCGGAACACCCTCGAAGATGGCCTTCTTCGGCTGCGGGGCTTCAACTTCAATTTCGGCTCCGTTGCCCTCTCCCGCAGGCGTAGTGGTGGAAGCGCCTGTATGTGGACTAACAGACGCTCTCGACAGATGTGACCCATTTCCTCCGTTCACGGCTTTACCACCGCTTCCGACAGAAGAGGGACCCTTTTTACCAGGTGGGGTAGCAGGCCTCTCCAGACCCAACCTCAGGGCTGCCGCCTTCGTCAATCTCGGGGCTACCACAGGTGGTCTTGTCGATGCTACACCAATCGTCTCGGCTCGCTTGTGACCGGGTACACCTGCAAACGTCTTCCGTGCTCGCTCCTGTGCATCATTACTCACGGCATTCTCTTTGTTCGTGTAGGTAGGAAGACGGCCTGTGCTAGCCGTTCCCATGGTACTAGGTCTGGGTCTAGGTTTGCCAGGTGAGCCGGAAGAAGTTGCCGCCAGTGATTGTCGTAGGAGAGCTGCTTTAGTAAGGCGAGGAGTGATGTCGGGCGTGAGATGCGTTTTGGGGAGTGCACGAGCGCGGAAGGGTGACTTTCCCGCGCCGTTGGAGGAAGAGTTGGTGTTGGAGGTGCGATCGCTGAGCGCGAGGGTTGAACGAGCGTCCATAAATGCAGGTGCGCGCGTGTTGGATGGTCCAGCGGCACTGCCGTCAAACGTGGTCGGATCTGGTAAAGCAAGACGGGCTTCTAGACCGAATTGGAGTGCTTCTAGCACACCAGAATTGATCGAGCGTATAGAACCTGCATCGAACTCTGGCACCATCCTATGAGCCTGTCTATATTCATTTGGTACGTGTTGTCTCGCTATTTCAGCGTGTCCTCCCTCATCTACGAGCGTCAACCCTCCTTCCTCATCCGGTATGGGCGGTAGTTCAGTTGGAGGGAAGGGCGGGCTCGATGCGAATAGAGCTGCTATCTGCATCTCGACTTGGGCATCTGTACGTGCGGCGATGAGGTCATTGTCGAAGGAAGAGAGGAGAGTGAGCAGGGTTTGGACGGCGGGACGAGAGTGGTCGAGAACATATACCCAGACTGGACCCCTGTGTGCGTAGTGGTTCTTCAGTTGAGCATGGACACACGGACGCGAGATGGAGACGGAAGAGAACGCGGGGAATTCAGACTCACTCGCTGAGAAAGTTGGCGTCCGAGTCGAACAGTTCGTAGAACGTTTCAGGATCGGTTTCAGTATCGAATTCCATTGGGCGCTCTTTGACAATCTACGTAAGAGTATCGAGTGTCAACATGTCGTATATTCGAATTTCGGGAGGGGGAAGGAAGAAACGTCAACGAACCTCAAATTTGGCCTCCAAGAGACCATGTTCGATGTCCAGCCTGCGCGGGACAGCGTGCGTCTTGATGATGGCGACCGTGCGCGACATGGCTGCTAAAGTATGACTTAGGGAGCGGAGGGCGTTTGGGAAGGGAATAGGAAGACACGTATACACAGCAACTACGATGGAAAAGAAAGAGAAATTTGAAAAGCGTGAATGTTTTGATTGAGTCGAGTGTCTGTTGAAACGTTGATCAGCCGGTTGCGATGGCACCGCGACGCGACGCATATTTGACGCGACAACCGCCATCTCACGATCATGTCGAAAGCACGGCACCGGGACTGATGCTGATAATAATGCTCCCTGCAGTCCTAGTGTCGAGCCTATAATCCGTGCACGTCGTCCATGTTGACTTACCCCCACCTCGTATCACTGGTATGAGTTAATATTGTGTATTCATGACTGCAACGATCATGATGAACGATGAGCAGGCGGGTCTCGCAACCGACTGAAATGAAGGTACTGAGCATCGCATTATGATATCACTGCAAGTATTCGTCGGAATGAATATGGTGACCCGCATCACGGCAACCCTACTTCATTATAAAACATTGAACTCGGATATAATACAGCTCGGACTATCACCGGATCTCCAGTACCTTCATACCAATATCCGTCAATGACATCACCTCCCGTCGGGGAATGAGAATCTCCTCGTCAGTAGCCACTCTCTTGTATGTATCAACGGACTGTTTCATAAGTAGCAACGCTCTGAATGGATGTTCGAGATGGACGACTAGTCGTAACGCCCGAGTGTAATTGTCCCATTCCGGTCGACTTGTCTGAGCGAGGAGTTCACGAATCCAAGGGTATACAAGCACTACCTCACTCTGCGCCGTGAATGCCGTGCATGAAGTTTTGAACTGAAATTGGCATAATGCTGTTGCCTGTGCTTGACAGACGATATTTTGACTAGAAGCTGAAGAGGCTTCATCATTTCGCGCGGTGTATACTGAGACAGAAAATATGATGCATGGCAGGGTAAGTCGCCGATGAGTGAAACCTATCGAGCCAAGGGCGGAAAGACTTTCGAAAAACATGGTGACATCCCGCTGCGGTAACAGGACCTGCAGTTTCGCAGCTCTCGCTTCCATCTCATTCTCTGGAATGGGTGGGGGAGTGTAGGGGGGATTTTGGTAAGCCGAGATCTGAGCAGGAAGGCAACTGTTGAACTGCGACGACTTCCCAACCCAGTCTAGCACAGCTTTGGCGTCACCTTCCCGGTGCACAATCTCCTGCAAGAGAAGCCCCAGCGCATCCTCAGGGTCGCGATACTCGGGAATCAAATCACTGCTGAAGATCCCAATCAACGCGTATGCGATATCGGCTTTCTCTGTGGCTTCGCGAGTCGAAGCTAGACGGAGCTTAGTTCGGATGCTAAGCGAATGCGGGGAGAAGTCAACGAGGGTGTCTTGGGTAACGTCAACAGCCTCCGCCAACTCCCGCATGATGTCAGGTGATTCCTTGTGGTTGGGCCGAGTGTCCTCCCCATAGAGTTTCCAGTCCCTGTCGTAAAAACGGACGGATTTGGGTGCGAGGAGTTCTTGGAGTGTCCAGGCCCGTGTCATCCATCTATTATTCTTGAGAGTGGACGATGTGGGTGCACGAGCGAGGAGTATGATAGTAAGAGCGGAATCTCTGTACCAGTTGAACATAGAACGTATTGACTTCCTGTAAACAGTTTCGATCGTCTTATCGATGCAACAGGTATCGCTCCACGCCCATAGGTATCCTTCGGGGTCATCCCGAGCTCTCTCGTAGAAACAACGAAGTTTATGCTTTAGCGGGTGCGGATCGAGCTCATAGACTGATTTTTCAGAGAGGTCTTGAAACGTGGGTTCTTTCCCTTCCCAAGTATGCGAAAACATGACGTAGCGGAAATATCTTGCTACCACCTTCTTGATGCGATTGCTGTCTAGCTCCGTGGACATGGACGAGACAAGTTCATGGAAGGTGTCGTCTGCTTTGAACATCCGGACACGAGCGGTCGCATCGCAGAGATTTCCAGTTTTGACATCGATGAGTACGAGCGGAGATATTTCGCAGATGGCTTTGATCTGCCCCTCAATTGTTTTGATTGTCCCAGCGTAATTCGAGCGCAACTCTACTGAAAGTAGTCAACACCCGGTTTTCAAGATGTACACCGAAGAGACTTACGGCGGATACTTGGATCGGCTGACTCTTCCACCTTTGTAACCATCTTGTCCAATATTTCGGTCGCCTCTCGATAACGGCGAAGAGCACGCAACGCCACATATCTTCTCTCATACCCCCACGGACACAACTTATCCATGTCGATTGCCTGCGAGCGTCGTGGGTTTAGGACTGTCTGACGAGGATTAGGCGAAGAAACCTATACCTGATTGGCATCTTCCAAAGCACCCTGCCAAGACTGTTTGAATGCTCTTGCCTTGCTCCGCTTGACAAGAAGACGAGCAGAACCGGGCGGGTAGCGAGCCATCAAGGTCAAGTCCTCAGTAATTGCCTCATCCACCACATCGCTGGCCAAATCTATTGCCGAGAAACATCTCTTTGCGAATTCTGGGACATACCATTTGAGTACATGGAGTGAGCAAGTCACACCCGAACCCACCCGATCCACAATCAATAACCCGAGCTTCTG